GCCAATATAAACAGCTTATTTCTATGAAACTGATCAATTGGCTTAACATGTCAATAGAGAGTCAATAATTCTTCTATTATAAAGGACTCAGGCAGTAAACCTATTATTATTAGTAGCCATACACCAATAAAAAATTAACGGGTTGAATATGATGAAAAAGATTTACTCTGAGAAGTACATGGCAGTGTATTATTTTTGTGGTGGTACTTTTTAATACACTGAGATCTTAAACAAGAAGGCTCTGTATTTATTTGGATTTTATTATAAAGTATATGGAATATCACCCCCAAAGAATTTTCCATTTTCATTTAGAGTCTTCAGCCATTCATCCTTTTCAGACTTCATTCAATATGCGTAATAGATTTTAGTATTCCCAATACTTCCTCAAATGGGCTCCAAACATTATTACCAACCCTTTCACCTTATTACATAAATGAATAAACGCAAGGAGCCAGACAAATAAATAAGTCATTTTACTGTGCTCTAAAGAAACTGAGAATGAAATCTCCATTAGAAGCATATAATTTGATTGATAGCTATAGTTCCAAGAGGTAAAATCAAAAAAGAAAGATTAGACAATCCTCATGTGTGATGGATTCAATAGAAGCTTTTAGGAGCCTGTAAAACTACAAGCAAATAATGAAATCAGAAACCCATGGGAACATTAGTAACCAAAGACATACAGAAGCTCATTTATACAACTGGAAAAATCACATACTATGAAACAGCACACTTTTGGATTTTCACAAATTTACTTTTGAAGCCAAGGCATTAATATGACAAAATGTCACCACCTAGTTGCTCACAATATTATGAGTTCAATCATGAGTCAGATTTGAATGAAGATAATAAAATACCTTTTTGACCTTAAGAATGTCATTGAAGGTCAAATCTAGAGTCAGATTTGAACTGTTGAGAACTTGTACATGATTTTGAAAATTTTTCAAGCAAGTCAATTTGAAGCAAGTTGAACAAGTTGAAAAAGACCTTTTTTGACCTGAGAAAGTCATTGAAGGTCAAATCACGAATCAAAAGTCAGATTTAAACTTCTGATACTTGTAGATGATTTTGGAAAAAAATTGGTCAATTTATAGCAAGTTGAAAAAAGACCTTTTTTTTTTTTTTTTTTTTTTTTTTTTATTTATTTCATTAAAACATGATAACATTTTTACATATTCGTGGTCGTGACACCTACATAGGTATATAATTGACCACATTTAAAATCGTTATTCTAAAATTTTCAAGTGCTTGAAAGTTTAACACAACATGACACTGGGTGAACCATAATTTGTCTCATGAATTAAAAACATTGGTAAAAAATAATGTACAATAAAGAGGATGGAATTACCTTATGTTTGCAGAACATCAAAATCAGTATTTTGAAAAAGTGTCATCTTTAAAAAGACGTTTTAGTTTATAAATATTATTGGTAAGTTTAATAGTATTAGGAATTTTATTCCAGATAATTTCACCTTGTACTTTAAAACTGTATCTCAAATAATTGGTTTTGAATTTTGTTACATGAACTTGTTCATTCTGTCTAGTGTTGTGTTCATGAACACTATTGTTTTTTCCAAAGAAGTCAATAAAAATGTCACTTGGAAAAGAATCGGGTCTGTTAATACATTTGTAAGTTAGTTGCAGAATATTAAGGTCATATATGTCAGTAAATTTTAGAATTTTGAATTGTTTAAAGAATGGCCCGGTATGTTCTCTATTTCCGCTGTAAGTAATAATTCTTAAAAAACGTTTTTGTAGTTTAAATATTGAATTTGTTGCAGTTTTGCCTGCATTTCCCCAAGCACATATACAGTATTGAATTTGAGAATATATAAGTGAATAGTAAATTGATAGAAGTGTTTTTGTATTTAGTTTATGTCTACTTTTAAATAGTATCCCGATGATTTTTGATATTTTAAGCGATATTTTTTTTATATGTTCCTTCCAGTTTAAATCCTCATCAATAATTATCCCTAAGAAGTTGAATGATTGTACTCTCTCTACTAAATTATTTCTTATTTTGATCTCAATATTTTGTGGAACTTTATGTTTGCAGGTTGTATATATCATAAATTTTGTCTTCTGTACGTTAAGAGATAGCTTATTAGCACAAAACCAATCATCAATTTTATACAGTTCACAATTTAATTTAGTTATCAGATTATTTATGTTCTTATCAGAATACAAGATGTTTGTATCATCTGCAAAAACTACATATTTTAACAAAGAACTTGAACATATAATGTCATTGATATATATAATAAACAAAATAGGACCTAAGGTAGTGCCTTGTGGAACTCCACATGTGATTGATTGTTCCTGAGATTTAACATTATTATCACCATATACAGTAAATTGTTTTCGATTATTTAGATAACTTCTAAACCAATCATTAGCTTTTCCTCTAATACCATAAAAATTGAGTTTAGATAATAAAATGTCATGATTAACAGTATCAAATGCTTTACTGAGGTCCAAGAATATGCCAATAGAGAACTGTTTATCATCTAATGCTTTACGCAAATTTTCTAAAAAAGAAAGTATAGCCAAGTAAGTGGATCTATTTTTTCTAAAGCCAAATTGATTACGACACAAAAGTTTGAATTTTTCAAAAAAATCTGTAAGTCTATGAGCCATTACTTTTTCAATTATTTTTGAAAAAACAGATACTAAAGAAATAGGTCTATAGTTACTGAAGAATTGTTTTGTACCTTTTTTATATAATGAAATTACCTTGGCAACTTTCAAATCATCTGGAAAGATGCCAGTTTTAAAAGATAGTTGAGTTAGGAATACAAGAGGTTTTGCAAGGATGGCACTACTATTTTTGATAACTATAGGCTTTATATCATCATTACCAGCAGATTTATCTTTCAAATTATCTAAAATTGATTTTATTTCGTCAAAAGTGACATGTCGTAGATATAAACTTTGGCTTAAAGAATTAGACATTTTCTTCAAATAACCTTGAAAAGGTCAAATCTTAAATATAAAGTCAGATTTGAACTTCTAAAAACATGTAGATGGTTTTAAAAAAAATTGATGTTAGTCTTAACAGTATTTGTTAAGTTATTGGAAGTTGTAAGAATTTGTTACAGACGCCGATCGCCAACCGCCATAAAAAAAACCCGGAGACCATAACAATATGTCACCACTTTTTGGTGGTGACATAAACACAGAAAAGGCAGTCTTCAAACCAAGAGTGTAATAATAATAAATAAAATGTAGATATTTTGTAGTTTTAGGGAGTATAATTTATTTGCTCATTGTTCGATATTAAAGCCCACTTTCACTGGGGAACAAGAATGTTTTTGGCACTTATTTTTATCTCAATGTGGGATCGAGGGTTAATAAAGTTGTGTCAAATTTAGATATCAAATGTATTCTTAATTAGAAAATGAATGTGCCACCGTCAATGAATTCATTCTAATAGTTTTTCTAGCAATTGCACAAATGTGAATTTGCAAGACTATCTCTCCCATTGGCTTACATGTTAAAGTCTGTTTATGTTTGATTTTCTATTTACATAATATCTACTGGAAATGTGGATGTCAAAGATGGAGATCAAAACTGATGAGAGGTTTTAATCAAATTTTGAATTGAATTGAAAAGGTTTTTGTGAGATAAGTTGGCAAATTCAATTGTAGGATGGATGAATATTCAATTAAATCCGCGGATACGACTTGCATGGGAATGGAGATTTTCAAAAATTCATCAGATTAGTCATTTATTTTCATCCTAATGCAATCGTGGAAAAGCAGAACATTGGAATTGATCACAATTTATATTTCCAGCATTAAAAGTGGTTTTAACACAGATTATGCAAATAAGAAATCAAATATAAAGATGTAATACAACAATGAGGGAGCTAAGGTTGGCAAACTTATAAAGAGGTGTGTATATACAAAGGTACATCACATGAGTACATGTTCACATATTTACATACAGTAGAGCATATGTATTTATGTACTGTATAATGTAATAAGAATAAGAAAATTCACATGTTCTTGTCATATTTTTATTATCTAATCTGATATTTTTCACTGATATCTCTCACATATACACTTCATATTTCCATGCATTTACAAACGAAAATCTCTCATGGCAATTACAAGAAATTCAGCTACAGATTCTATCCAATATTTAGAAATACATACTGCACTTAAACTGTCATAATTTGAATTCTTTACACAACTGCATATCAATGGATAGACTATGTACTAGTAATTGAATAACTCAAATGCTGAAATGTCCTGCATTGTCCCGAATACTATGACCTCAACACAAATTCCATGGGACTAAATGACATTGTCATGTATTATTTAGCAGAAGGTACCATTTGCATATTGAATTCATGTCTGATGTACTGATATATCTCTAAGGCCATAGACTGACATTGTCATGTATTATTTAGTAGAAGGGACCATCTGCATATTGAATTCATGTCTGATGTACTGATATATCTCTAAGGCCATAGACTGACATTGTCATGTATTATTTAGCAGAAGGGACCATCTGCATATTGAATTCATGTCTGATGTACTGGTATATCTCTGAGGCCATAGACTGACATTGTCATGTATTATTTAGTAGAAGGGACCATCTGCATATTGAATTCATGTCTGATGTACTGGTATATCTCTAAGGCCATAGACTGACATTGTCATGTCTTATTTAGTAGAAGGGACCATCTGCATATTGAATTCATGTCTGATGTACTGGTATATCTCTAAGGCCATAGGCTGACATTGTCATGTATTATTTAGTAGAAGGGACCATCTGCATATTGAATTCATGTCTGATGTACTGGTATATCTCTAAGGCCATAGACTGACATTGTCATGTCTTATTTAGTAGAAGGGACCATCTGCATATTGAATTCATGTCTGATGTACTGGTATATCTCTAAGGCCATAGACTGACATTGTCATGTATTATTTAGCAGAAGGGACCATCTGCATATTGAATTCATGTCTGATGTACTGGTATATCTCTAAGGCCATAGACTGACATTGTCATGTATTATTTAGCAGAAGGGACCATCTGCATATTGAATTCATGTCTGATGTACTGGTATATCTCTAAGGCCTTTGATTGAGACAGATGTCCTCTCTCCTGGATGACAGGAACAGAGCTGGAATACAATGAAAAAACATATTCAATAACTTCAATGTCTATACATTATGCTCCCTGATAAGTCATTAAGATCCCTCATCAGTTATCATGCTCCCTCATATATCATTACCATAATGATACAGATACAGGATAGTCTTATTATCTCACCAACACAAGCCGTGACATATTGTCATAGTCTCCCAACTTATTTTGTGGATAGTGTTTGGCATTTGGTGTTTGATGTATGTAACAAATGGCTGGCGGTGACATTTTGTATGTTAATTTAGCTCCAATTACGTTAATAATATGCAATCTAGTTCCCCTAGCAATGAATTTATAATTAAGATCATACAAAATCAACATCCACATTATGTAGAAGAATATGAAACAACAAACATTGTAAAATTATAATTCTGAAGTCATACATCTGTACATGCGAAAATGTTTCAAAATCCTATTATGCAAATCTAAAACACACTGTGAATAAGTACTGAATTAATAAACAGTGCCAATAAATACTTCACTGCACTAACTGGATTCAGGAAACTCTCCTTACTCATACTGAATATAATTATTTTAAAGTACCTTTGCATAAAGTCTCTCAAAGTCCTATAGTTGTGGGAAAGATTTAGTGCGGTGACATAGTTGATCTTCGGTAGGGACATGTAGAACTTCATTAACTTAAATATATAAATAATACAGAAATAAAGTAAATATCATATAAAGATCTTTAAGCAACAAAATCCCAACTAACTCGATAGTTAATGTTTTTAACAAACTTTTGATTGGTTCAAAATGTTCCTCATTACTAAAACTGCCTAATTTGTAAAACTTATATACATGTATGTAGGGAAAGATGATCTTTTAAGTACATGTATTTTACCTGTTCTCTTTTGGTTGTCAAAGTTTCAGGTACATTAACATGCTGATTTTTCCGCTTCTCCATGTGGACAATGTCTGCTATGATTTTAGAAGTTTCCTCTACAAAGAAATAAAGCTTGATCTCAAAAAACACAATATATGCTCCGCGTCACATTGTTATAATATGTATGTATATAAATTGAATGGAACAATAAACTTAAACTTAAAAACTAAAAGAGCATTTCATAATTCTCCAATATAGACAGAGCATGCATCTCGCTCTCCAAGATTTGATACAAAGTCTGCATTGTCAGCAATTTTCCTAGCATGAGAGCAGGTGGCTCCTGCACCTTATTAAAAGGATAGGTATCGAAATTGTACTATTAAATTGACAATGTGTACAATTTTCAGAATTTTTTGATGACTGGTTTAAGAGAAACGTGTGTTCAAAAAGTTCACCATATCGATACCAATCCTTTAGAAATAAAATGCCACCCTGTTAGCATTCTGCTAGGGGAGGATATCAAGTTTTACATTAAAATGCATTTATTTGTTGTCTAACTGTAAGGCATTCTACTTACCCTGGGAGTCACTGTAGAAAACTTTAACTCTGCTTTGAGATAGATGTGCCAGCATAGTGTCTGTGTACTTTGTACGGAACCTGAAAAGCATAAGAAATAATTAAATATTTATGAATGATATTTTTCTTTCATAGAAATATGTTGATCTGAAGCAGGAAACACAAAAAGAGTTAGTTAATTCTGCGAGGCAGCTATACTAACTACTGTAGATTGGGTTAATTTGGTGCCCGCTTTAATTTGGCCAATTTGGCAAAATTGAAAAATTCGCCAATATAAATCTGCGCCAAAAGTCAGAATGAATCATCTAGGGTATTTTGTCCAGTGTATCTAGGTCACTTCCGGTTTAGTTTTTTCCAAAAATATGAAAAAATGTCTCTCCTAAATAGGGTTAGAACTGGTCAGTCACTCATTAATACTCAGGGGAAAACAAGAAAGGAAAAGCACGGTACCGTAGCAGCATCGATAGAGGTGCAAAATGTAAAGGATGATCTCACAAAAATTTACAAATGTGATGAATATCGCCAGTGGTCCTCAATAGAAAAAAAAGAACATAGCCAAACATGCCCATTTACATGGTAATTCACAAACAGCGCGTAAGTTTAACATTGCATTAACATTTTTTTTTCATATCTGCCAAATAAAATTGGGGTTTTTCAACAGATTATGTAGATGCAAACATTTCATTACAAAAAAGTCTTCATTTTAAGATTGGCAAGTTATTTGTCGAACAGAAAAACATTTAAACAGAAAGGGTTCTTCAATGATCTATACAATCTGGCTGAAAAATATGAATATATACCAGACCAAATTCAACAATTCATCTGTAATGGCAATTATTTGATTAAGGAAAAGTGGAGACTGCTTACTAAATCACAAATTCATATTAATGAGGAGAAAAAATGGCAAGAAAGCTGCCAGAAGAATGTCTCTTTACAATATTTTCGTAACGTCCATACGGAACTCAGCCCAAGCATAATGTGGGAATTGGGTGGACAATTCCCAAAATGCACTTGGAATTTAGGCAATCTCATTCATTTATCCTTACCTAATGTATATGATAAGAAGTGTAAAATGTGTGACACCATTATATTTACAAATGAGTTCATAATCGTGCATTACCTATTGCATTGCCAAAATAGCAGAATTATCTGTGAGAGAGACGATCTTTTTAATTTAATAGTCTCAATTTTAGACATAGATACTGGTGTAAAGCTGTTTTCTGCTGACACACATGTTTTTATTGATGCCATACTAGGAAGTCAGGCAGATGTTCTCCAACAATTGGATGATGACACATTTTGTAATTTTTTACTAACTATTGCAATTAAGCTGCAATTTGTGCAGCACTATTTCATGTAAATATTATTCTTACATTATCATGATTATTCTCTATTGTATAAAATAACTGTATTGTAATTATTATGTTGTTGCTCCGATTAATTTTCGGGAATAAAAGAAACAATAAACAATAAATAATAGAAAAAAATGAACATAGCCAAACAGGCCCATTTACATGGTAATTCACAAACAGCGCGTAAGTTTAACATTGCATTAACATTTTTTTTCATATCTGCCAAATAAAATAGCCGCCAATATGCCAAAAGTGGCAAAATCGCCTAATTAAGTAGCGCCAAATTAACCCAATCTACAGTAATCATTGCATATTTAACTTAACAAATATTTTTAATTCAAGTAGATTAGCTAACCACCCCCATGTGTTGCACATATTTCCAATAAATACTGTAGATTTTAGCCCCAAAATTATCTAGGGTATTTCGCCAAATTAAATAGCCGCCAAAAATACTTGTTATTTCTAATGTTTTGGACATTTGAACGTGTAAATTGGTGTGAGACATTTAAAAACGGCTGCCAGGAGGTTGAGGCTAGACGATGATACTATTGATGCGCTCTTTGCAGACTCTGAGAGTGACAATGACAGTGATTCTGAAATTGAATTTTTCAATGATGATGATCAGTTTGATGTAGATCGCATTCAGCCCAATTTAGATGGAAAACCAGGAGCTAATCTAGGTATTTATACAATTTTTCTTGAAATGAAAGTAAAATTATTGGTTGTGCTATTGCTTCTGTCCCAAAGTGTATGTTTTTTTCGCAACATTTGACATACATGTAACATATTCTAAATAAAAAAATAGTTAGTTAGCTGTTTGTAATGCATATGATTGAGACTGGCAGTTGTATGATAATATGCAACCAGATGATGTGCCTGGATCGGAGATTTCAATCCACCTGCTAGGCGAGGTGTGCTGATAGATACAGGGGACTTTGACCCAGTTGATTACTTCAAAATCTTCTGGCCAGATAATTTAGTTCAGTTAATATCTGATGAGACAAACAACTACGCGTTCTCTTATTTTGATGGACCAGATGTGTTTGAAAATCTGCCACCAAGGTCAAGATTTAGAGACTGGACAGAAATAAATCCAGAGGAAATCTTGAAATTTACTGCTTTACAGTTAAGCCTGAGTATGCCAGCTGAAGTCGATTATTGGACCATAGGTTGTTGGCTGAT